ATTTTTGGTGACGCAATATATCGCCCATTATATTTACACTCCAGTTTTGTACACTCCACTTGCGCTGGTGTCTTTCGCAGCTTCTCGTGCATAACGTGGTGTAGTCATGAGGTGCTAGTTCACGTTTAATAAATGCTTCTACAAACAAAGTTTCATCTGCAGATATGATCTTGTTTAGGGATGTATTTGTGCGTACGGACATCTGAGTGCTGAGTAGTGCTTGTGTTTCTCAGCAATAGTGTGCACCCTTCGTTTACAGAGAAAAGACGGTCAGCGAAAATCTGTAGATCTCCAGACAAGTTCTTTATGCATTTTTCTTTTTTTCTACTTTGCACTTTTTGTTAGAAAACGTTTATTTACTATTTATTCAGGTTTTTTAAGGTATCTAATATTCTGATACTTCATTTCCATGATCTAAATATTCTTAAAAATTAAAAGTTTGTTGTCATTTGGAAGTGTGTAGGCCTTCTTGCATTATTATGCTGTTACATTATGATTATATATTCAGTGGCATAAAATGGTCTTTAAAATGACAATAATATCGCTTATCTGGGGCAATATATCGCACAACAAATAGTTGTTATCGTGACAGGCCTAACACTGCATCTGCTTTACTGCACAGTAACATTTCCATACCCATTATTTAAAAGCTTATTTCTCATCATTGTCGTGTGAACAGGTCTTTAGTGAGCACTGTATGGTGTACATTATGATTCCTGATCTTACCATGTGTGGCTCCTCGGCAGCCAGTTTTCTTTCCCCACTTTCTCAATACAAAACTTCTGCGGCCCATTGCTCCCTACAGAAATCAATAAACAAACATATTCTTTAAAGTGCAATCGAAAGGACTGGCATTGCGTTTTAACCAATAGGCTCTATGAAGACATTCAGCGATGTGAGGCGAGGGTTTACATGCTTTCATACATGGTAAGGAGAAGATACTATTTGATTTAGATGAATTTTGAATATCTATTTTTTAAATATCTACTTGAAGATTTTAAGTTAATATTTCAAAAGGCTGGATGATGTTGATTAATGGTCACATGACATGCAGGTAAACAAAATACTTTAATCTTTTACTAGTAAGTTTTTATGGCGATTGTTTTTATTTTAAAATCATTTAATTTAAAATATTTATGGTTTAATTAATTATTCACTTTCCATAAAACATGTTAAGTATCAGAGACAGAATTATAGTTTTTATTAATATTTTAAAATTTTTATTTTGTATCTTTTCCATTTTTATTTTTAGTTAAGGGTTTAGTAATTTAGTTGTGTTTTATTTTTTATTTGTTTTAAATATGTCTACATATTTTCATAAATTTTTATTTTAGTTTTAGTTATTTTAGTAAATCGAGTTTAATTGAAAAGGAGAAATGTTTCCTTGCCAATTAGATGAAATGTAACTTTATTATTATTTCAAGTAACAAAAATGCTTTTTTATGGTTTCGGTTTTTAGCTAACTATAATCATTTGAATACTTTAGTGTCATTGCACGTTTTGTACAACGAGATTCAATTTGCAACTCCTTGTGGATAAAAAAAAACATACAAAGAAAGATTTATAAATACATCAAACAATACACCACAGAAAAAACTGTGCATATATTAGGGGTGTAAGGTACACAAATATGACAGTTCGGTACGTACCTCGGTTTTAACGTCACGGTTCGGTTTGATTTCGGTACAGCAGGGGAAAAACTAAACTTTTTAATACATTCAGTTACAGTTTAAATTTTCTTACTGATGAAAAATCTACCTCAGCTTATGCTTAAAATTATAGGGAGCCTTTTTACATTATAAGGTTACAATTAGGCCTAACAACTTAACCCAAACTTAAATTTAATTGCTATTTATTTTTAAATAGATGATCAACACTGAACTTTAAAAAAATAATAATAATTGTACGCAAACATGTAAATTGCACAATGTAGTTTTTAAATTAACTTATAAATAATACAATTTCTAAGCTATTTGTTAAAATATATTCAGTTACACAATGGCTGTCATAGCATGTTTCATAACAGATTCATTTTAGCATACTGTACATTAAGTAATTAAGACTAACGGGTTTAGTAAAATATGAGTATATGGTGTAATATTTCGCAAAATGCTCCTCTCTAGACTTAATTTCTCTAGTGAACTAACGAGCTGTGGACACTGATGACTTGCTGAGGTAAATTAAATGCTATGTGACATTTTATTTCCACGCTGTATTGTTGATGTATTTCCGCGGTTTAAACACTGATCGAGCAATTACACGAGGCATGAGATGGTCAGTCGTGTTTATTCGCGTTAAAGTACAGAGGAAGGAATGATCGCGTTCACAAAACGGCATTTATTATTTGAATTTCCTAAGAAGAAAAAAAAAACTGTATTTGTGCGGTACACATGCGTACTAGGGCTGTGCGATTTGGGGGGAAATATCAAATTGCGATTTTTTTGACAGATATTGCGATTGCGATTTGATTTGCGATTTTAAATTGGCAAAGTCAAGCTTCAGCTCAATATTGCCAATAATGTGCAGCACAGTATGGGTATCATTACCCTGCTGAAAAAAACAATAAAAACCATCACAGAAATTCTTATAGTTTCCATTAAACCATTACAAAATTCCTTTTTGTTTTGGGCATTATTCCAATAGGAATTACTGTTGTTCTATTGGTTCCCATCTGCCAGATTACCTCCCACCAATAGAATCCATCAAATAGACACTATTATAGTTTACATTAAAACCAAACCAATTCCCATTATAACCTGAAATCCATTACATTTGTTATTGTGTTTTGGGAGGGGTTCTGTTGTTGTTTTTTTCAGCAGGCAAGATTATAATAGTATTACTACTTTTACAGAATTAACTTAATTACTGAATTTCACAGAAAATATTTGTTTATTTTTTATAAATAAAGAACTGTATTTCTTAAGTCAATTATTAAAGTATTACATATGTTACATAGGCTGATTTATTCATTTTAAGTATTTGGGATTTTAAGAGCAAGTGGAAAATGTGCTGAATGTTTCATTTCATCCAAGTGAAATTAGCAAGCAGTTAGACTGAATTTATATTTGTTTTAAACGCGGAGCCAGGCGCGCGTCGACACAGGTTGCGCGCGTGCGTCAAGCCTCATCCATACTGCCAGATGTGCTCGCGGAGACTTGCGGAGCCGGGCGGGATTCGCGCCGCATGGGGCAGAGAGGAGCGAGTATGAGAAGCATTCACAGACACAGGCTGTGTGTGCACTCTTCTGAATTGGGAATAGCCAACATGCATCATAAACTTATTCAAATTAATCTGTTGGGGAGATAAAATGTGCAAGATAACGTTCACATACTAACAAAAACATCTAAGAATGTATCTTTTATTCTCCAGTACTGAAAACAGAACCTAGAAGGGAGCTTATATGCGCTGTGACGCAGCTCTTGGAAATTACCTTTTTGTTCGTTGTCTGTCATTTCGAAGCTTACCTTGCATACGG